CAGAGCCACAAACACAACACCTACAGCCATGTAGCAGAAGGGACTGGTGAGGTCATGGGCGGTGCGGCCCCATTTCTACAGCTGGGGAAACTGAGACGCAGCCCAAGGTCGTACAGTGAGTTTACCACTCTGGGGGTTGCAACTTTAGGCCGAGAAGCCTGCCTGCATTCTTCCTTCCTTCTTGCCTTCATCCAATAAGCACCTATTGAGCACCTACTGCATACAGGTTCTGTTTGGGTTGGTGGGGATACAACAGGAATACACAGACAAGAAGGTAGTGTTCTCAGGAGAGGACAAAGGAAACAGACAATAACCTAATAAATAAGCACATAGTATATAAGAAGGCGTCAAATGTGCTAGAAAACAGGGCCGCCTGGGCGCTCAGTCGGTTGAGTGTCAGACTTCGACTCAGGTCATGATCTCGCGGTTTGTGGATTCGAGCCCCGTGTCGGGATCTGCGCTGACAGCTCAGCGCCTGGAGCCTGCCTCAGACTCTGTGTCTCCCTCTCTCTCTGCCCCTCCCCCACCCCCGCATATGTGTGCACCCACACGTGCTCTCTCTCAAAATAAATAAACTATTTTAAAAAATGGAAGAGAGACATTACTACAGACCCCACACATTAAAGGGATAGCATGGTCTGTGTGGGGCCACCAGAAAATTCCCATGTGCTCAGGCACTTCATGTGCCTCGTGTTGTTTAATTATCTCAGCATCTCACTGACGGAAATGCAGCTGCTAAAACCTCACCTGTGGTTACAGGTGGGTAAACTGAGGCTCAGAGCTCAGGTCCCTGGGTAACATCAGCAGAGCCAGGAGTTGAATCCAGGGCTCTCTGACTCAGATTTTAGCTCAAGGGTCCAGGTCTTCTCCCAGACTGCAACCCCAGCTCAGCCTTCTGGGAGTGCTGGGCGTCCACTGCCAGCCCTCCCTGGCACTCGAGGCCCCACGGGGCCCAGTCTTGCCCCCTCTGCCCTCGCCCCCTCTCCTCTGGCCACAGTAGCAACCTCCCAGTCCTTAAAGCCACTCAAGCCAGTTCCCACCTCAGGGTGCTTACTGGGCTCCCTTCACCTGGGGAGACTCGGCCAACAAATCAGCCCATAGCCAGCCCCATCCTCAGTAACCTGTGGGCCCCCAAAGTACACAAGCCATTGCTTCCTTCCAGAAGCAGCACAAACTCCAGAGCTGTGACCAGAACTGGGCACTGAGGATGGAGATGGGAGATAGACACCCCCACCTCCTCCTCTCCCTCCTGGCAGAGTCTCTGGTTGACCCAAGCTGGCCAGAAGTGCAGGATACGGCCGCTGGGGTCAGCCTCAAGGACCCTAGGCCAGGCAGAGAAAGACCAGCGTGCCGGCCGGAGGACAGTCCTTCATCCAGGTTCTAGCTGGGACTCAGCTGCCTTAGTTTCCCCACTGTGACATAGGAAGGAGCCAAGAGCGAGTGTGGGGCGGGGAACAGACTGGAATGATTGCCTGAGCCTGAAAGGGAGGTTTTGGGGGCCTCAAGGTCCAGCAACATCACCAGACTGAGCTTAGGCACCCCAGCCGGCCTCGACCCGTGACCACCCGACTCCTCCAGCTCTCACTTTCAGCTCAGAACCCGCACAACTGCCAGGTAACAGCATGTGAATGAGAAGCTAATTAATTCTAAGCCCATGCACATGAGCCACGTTTTTAATCCAAAGTATTCACTGGCAGAAAAGAGCAGATCAGCAAACTGAAACAAGGAAGCCCGGACTGGGATGGGGCACAGGGCTCTGCCCTGGCAATACGGCGCCACGTGGGGGCCGCGGCTGAGGCCGTGGGCCTCAGTGCCTCGGAGGAGGCTGCAGGGTCTGAGCGCATAAGGGTTAACCCGACCTTTACCCATCTGTGTGCCCACCGCGTGCAGGCGCTGTTCAGGTGCTGGGAAAAGACGTGTGCACAAAACACACAAACTCCCTTCCTCACCCTTTTGTTGAAAGAAGCAAACAAGTGAGTTACACTGCTTTCGAAGGCAAAGCAGTGCCGTGGAGCAAAACCAAGGCTGGGGCGCCCCGGGGGGGGGGCTCCGCCGGTTAGGCGGCCCACTTGGGCTCAGGTCGTGATCTCACGGTCCGTGAGTTTGAGCCCCGCGTCCGGCTCTGTGCTGACAGCTCAGAGCCTGGAGCTGCTTCGGATCCTGTGTCTCCCTCTCTCTCTGCCCCTCCCCCACTCAAGCTCTGTCTTTGTCTCTCTCCAAAATAAACAAACATGGAAAGAAAGAAAGAAAGAAAGAAAGAAAGAAAGAAGAAAGAAAGAAAGAAAGAGAAAACCACGGGTAAGGGGAGGTTGGAGGTGTGGAGAGTTTCCAGTCTGACATGAAGTGGTCACTGAGAAGGTGACATTCACGCAGAGACTTGAAGGAGGTTGGGGGTGGAGGGGGCGGTCTGGGGAGAAGACACAGCAGGCAGAGGCCCAGCGGGTACAAAGGGTCTGAGCCTCGAGTGCACCGGGCGTCCGGCAGGAGCAGCGAGGAGGCCCGTGTTGAGTGGAACAGAACGAGCGATGGGGAGAGAGGGAGCGGGCGTGCAGGGTCCCGGGGGAGGCACCGCGGAGCCCCGGAGGGCCGCGGGCAGAGCTGGCACCTCCTCGAGCCGGTGCTCACCGGCGCCCTCTGGCGGCCGCGGGGAAACAGACCGTGAGCGGGGCTCAGGGGAGGGGGCTGGTCCCGGACGGGTGTGGGGAGGTGGGGGGCTTGGTGGGCGGTGGTGGAGGAGGAGGTAAGAAGCAGGTGGGTCCTGGATCTATTTTAAAACTACAAGCAACAGGGTTTGTGGCACATTTGAGGTAGGGGTGAGGGGACCGGAGGTGTTGGGGACGCTCCCTGTTACTAGGAGGGAACACGCAGGGGAGGGGCAGGTTAGGAGAAGGTCAGGAGCTCAGTTTGGGAACTGTGAGGTGTGGACTCTCCGGTGGACAGCCAGCTACGCGGGTCCAGGCTGTTGGCTCTCTGGGCCACATAACAAATCCCCCCCTCCCAACACAGTGGCTCAAAAACACCCACATTTCTTACATCACAGCTTCTGAAGACAGTCCATAGACAGAGTTGGGTCCTCTGCTCAGGCTGCAGTGCTGCTGTTGGCCAGGGCTGAGGGCTCATCCGGAGGCTCCCCCGGGGAGGGGCCCACGTCCCAGCTCCCCGGGGTTGCTGCAGGATCTGTGGCTGTGGGACTGGGGGGCTCACCTCCAGCTGGCTTCTGGCCAGGTGGCCTCCAAGCATGGCTGCTTAGTTTCTCAAAGCCCCAAAGGAAAAAGTCTGCGCAACATGCAGGATGGAGCTTATGTTGTTTATAACAGTAACGGGAGCAGGTGTCCCACCCAGGGCCCGGGTTCTTCTTCCCTCTCTCAGCCCATCTCTTCCTGAATCCATTAGATCCCTCTTCAATCACGTATCACTGCCCCCAAATCCCCTCGCGTCCCTTCTTCCCCTGCTACCCGTCTTCTGCACAAGAACAGAATGATCTTTTGAAGTCAAAAAGTCACCCCGTACCTGTGTCCTGCTCACAAAACATCCCCCAGGCTCCCACTGTGCCATCAACAAATCCAAACTTCTAACCTTGCCTTTGTTTGGCTGTGAGGGCACAGGCTGCATTTATTGGGCACCTACTACATACCAGCCTCTGTGCAGGTGCAACAACACAGCCCACAAGAAACAGAATGCAAACCACATGTGCAATTTTGAATTTTCTAGCAGCCATGTCAGAAAAAGAAACAAGATCATTTTAATGATACATTTTATTTAACTCAGCATAACCAAAATGTCATTCCAGCATACAAAAGTTGTGCTTGAGACATTTTACATTCTTCTTTCCTGCTAAGGCTTCAGAACCTAGTGTGTCTTGTGCCCACAGCACATCTCAGCTTGGGGTCCAGATGCTCAGCCACGGTCCAGATGCTCGGTGACCACACGTGGCCACTGTGTGGTCAGCACAGATTCAGAGTGCTTTAGAACCAAACCCTTAGTCCTGTGGCAGTCGGTCCCCCAGGGGACACTGCAGAATGTCTAGGGGCACCTTCTGTTGCAAAGACTGGGCGGGAAGGGTGCTCCTGACACTTGAGGGTGTGGGAGCCAGGGATGCTGCAGGGGAGACTGATGCAGAGGGCTGCAACCAGCATCTGTCCCCACAGATCAGGCCCGCCCACACAGCCAGCACTGACATCCCTGGACAGGATGCTTCCTGCCCTCCAGAAGCCCCACCGTGCCCCCCTTGCACTCCTGTCCTCCCCTCTACCCTGTAACCACCATGGTGACTTCAAAAGCAGGGCTATATTGTCCCCCCCTTTTTTTGCTTTACATAAATGGTAGTGCACTGCGTTCCCGTGAGCCCTCTTTCCCTGGACCTAGTGTGTACGATTCATCCTCTTGCTGGGTTCGACTGTAGACCATTCACTCTCATTGCTGGGTGTAATATCCCGTTGCATGAAGACGGCACACTTTATCTGATGAGCTTCTAGGAGGTTTCCCCTCGAGGCTACTGCAGATAATGCCGTTCCCAACATTCCAGGCGGAGGGCACAGCCTGTGCCAAGGCCCTGGGGAATCGCTGGGCCTTTGTGTTGAAGAGCGAGGAAGCTCTTGTGGCTGGACCAGCAGAGCAAGGAGGAGAGGAGGAGAGGGAGGGAAGGGAGGAGGACGGGGTGAGGGGGCAGGTGGTGGACATGGGCTTTTACCCTGAGGGAGGTGGGAGCCCTGAAGGGCCCTGGGCAGAGGAGGGGTGAGGTCAGGTGTAAGAGAAAAGAAGCCAAGGCTTCTTTGGACCTGAATCTCCTCAAGGACGGATCTGACCTTAACCCAGACGAGGGGGTCTTATTTCTTTAGTTGTTTATCGCCAGTCAGCCCCCACACTCCTCTACGCAACACGCTAGCACACGCACACATAGGCGCGCGCACAGGAAGAGGCGGCAGGAGTCCAGAGCAGGTGCAGAGCAAACACCTTTGACTTGTGGGTGAAGGGGGCTATCACTGACATCACCACTGCTGTGGGTCTCAGTCCCCACCATTCCCTTCTGGAATCATCTGGAGGCTGAAAGTGGGGCTGCACCGCCAGGAGGCTGGGTCAGTGACTGGCCTGCTGTTCTCCGTCCCTGGCACACGGGTGGCAGCAGGCCAGGTGTTCATGGGCCGCCCCATCCAGCGTTAGCTGCGGCTCTGGCTCCCCAGTTGCCCTGATCTGTCACTCCCCCAGGGCACTCGCAATTGTCCTCCGTCCTGAGGTCAGCCCCCTGACTCAGACTCACGTGCCTCTGCGGCTGCCTGCCCCTTTGTTCCGAGCGGACTCTAACAAAGAAGACTTGTTCTCCCAAGACAAGAACACAGTGAACCAGGGGAGCCAGGCTCCCCTCCGCTCTCCCTCCAGGAAAGTGGCAGCTCTCCACGCGGGACAGAGCTCTCGTGTTCTGCTGGGTGCCCGGCTGCATGTCTGCCAAGTCTCCATTTTACAGGTGCAAACACTGAGGTTCAGAGGAAGGAAGGGCTGTATTGGGAGGACTGGAGGGCTGGTTGGGGGTCCCGGCAGGCTTCCTGGAGCCTACAGACTCCTGCCCGGCCAAGTGCTTTCTCTCCTCTCTGGCTCCATCCATCCCTCTGCTGCGGCCCTCTGCCTTCTTTGCTTTTCTAGAACACACCAGGCAGCCCCAGCCTCAGAGCCTTTGCACTCACTGTACCTTCCACCCGGTACACCCTTTCCCCCATACATGCTTGCTAAGTCTCTGCTCAGACCCCTCCTTGCAAACATCTTCCTCTGACCGCCCAGCTTACCACTCTACCGACCCCTCTTCCACCTTACTCGTTTTTTCTCACAGAATCTATCACTGGCTAACACAGTGTACCATTCTTCCCATTGCCCAGTGTTGGCCTGGAGTTGTGAGAGACGACTGTGCAGCTTGCAGGAGTTTCGTGAGCTGGCTGATGCCATGTGGGTAGTCATGATGGTGGTTTGATCAGCCACCACGGGATAGCGACACCACAGGAATGAGCATGCGCCACAGAGTTGGGCTTTTTACCCTGTGTCTCCTGCCCCCTCCCCCTTCCATTAGAATGAACGCTCCTTGGGGCAGGGGTCTGCCCACCTTGATTTCTGCTGTCACCCTGGCACCTAGAACAATGCTTGGCATCTAGGAAGCATTCAATAAATACTGGTTGAATTGAGTGACCCTCATCCCTAGCAACTGCTCTCAGGCTTTTTGACATCAGGCCCCCCGTGACAAACCACCCTTCGGCCTGACCCTGGTCTCTGGCACCATTTCGCCAGACTCCGGAAACATCCTCCAACCTTTAGATGACACGCTCCAGTTCCCCAGCACCTTGGCCCCAGGGCGGTCAATGAGCCCCCGGCCTCCAGCAACAGGGCTCCTTCTCGCAGAGGGATCCCAGCGCCCCTAGCCGCGATCCCGGCCCCGCGGGAAGAGAGCAGGAACCCCGCGGCCTCGGACTCCGGTCCCAGAGACGCCCCTCTGTGCACTCATGCCGCGCGTATCTATCGAGCGCCTGCTGCCTCCCGGGTTCCGCACGCAGATCCCGGGTTCAGGACCTCTCGCTGCCTCCCCGACACTGGCCCCGCGGCCGCGCGACCGAGACGTCGGGCCGGTGCCCACCCCAGAGGGTTGGGGGCGGGGGGCGGGGGACGAGCACCGCAGTTCCTCGCGCGACCTCGCAAGCAGCCAGGTGCCCCCAGCACGCGCCCCTGCCCCCGCGGGTCCGCGGTTCGGGGCCCTGCAGGCGCTGTGCGCGGTGCTTTGTGGGAAACACCGACCGGGGTCCGCGGCATGCCGGGAGTTGTAGTGCGGCAGCGCGGGGCGAGCGCAGGGCCCGCCGGGACTTGTGGGCGGGACCGGGGCCGGAAGGCAGGATGCGAACGTGCTGCGGGGCCGGGGCGCCGCTGCCGACGACAAGATTCGCGATGTCCCGCTGGCTAAGAAGATCGTCACCGAGGACGGCGGCGCCGAAAGTGCCCGAGCCCCTGCCCACCCCTGACCCTCGGCGCCGGCCCGATCAGGAACCCTACCCCAACCCTAACCATACTGGGCACCCATAGCCCGTGTGGACGGGCCGGGACGCCAGTCTCAGCCTTGGACGGTGAACCCCCTCCCTTCCCAGAAGCCCCAACGCCAGCTCGGTCCACCCAGGCCCCTGTCGCAGACACCCGGGCACCGTCCTGCAACCTCAGCTCCCACCTTCCTCGCAGAACCACCTCCATGCTCTGAACTTGGCCCCGCCTCATCACTCAGACATAACTGCTAGACTCCCGTCCGTGCCATCTGTGGCCTAACTCATGTCGCAGGTGCAGACGCCTGAAAGAAGCTTCCTGGGCAAGAGACCTTCTCTGAAGGGCTCTGGTGTGAGCGCCGACCGTGACCCCCGGCCTCAATCCCTACCCCTCCACCATCGTCACCCATCCAGCATTTCCCAACCTCTGAAGTTCCCAGCACTGCTGGCATTGGGGCTCGATTGTTCTCTGGGCCCCGTGGGGAGGGGTTGAGCAGTAGCAGCCCCCATCGCCATGCCAGGAGCACCCCCACCCCCACCCCCACCCCTGACAACCACCTGCCTCTGCTACATATCACTCAGGATCACCAGGGTAAGAACCACTGTCCTAGTGTGATAAAACACCAGGGGTTCCCAGGTCTTAGCCTGCAGGTAGGTGGAGGAGAGGGGAGCTACCCACCTAACCAAAGGACATTTCCATTCTGTGCCCAAGACAGGCCACAAACCCAGCCTGAGGACAGAGCCCCCTGCCCACTAGAACACACAGCTCACTTAAATGCTCCAGCAACCATGTTGAAAAAAACACAGTGAAAAAGGGACATAAATAGCATCTGGCTGGCTCAGTCAGGGGAGCATGCGACTCTTCTTGTTCTAGGGTTGTGGGTTTGAGCCCCACATTGGTGGAAAGATTACTTAAAAAAAAGTCTTAGGGCGCCTGGGCAGCTTAGTTGGTTAAGCCTCCACCTCTGATTTCAGATCAGGTCATGATCTCTTGAGACCAAGTGTGGCGGGCTCCGCTGGGCATAGATCCTGCTTAAGGGTCTCTCTCTCCCTCTGCCTCTGCCCCTCCCCAGCTCATGCTCTATAAATCAATAAATCAATACATAACTTTCTAAAAAGTAGCATAGGGGCACCTGGGTGGCTCAGTTGGTTAAGCGTCCGACTTCCTTAAGCTCAGGTCATGATCTCACAGTTCATGAGTTTGAGCCCCGCATCAGGCTCTCTGCTGTCAGCATGGAGCCTGCCTCTGATGCTCTGTCCCTCTCAAAAATGAATAAGCCTTTTTTTATTTAAGTTTATTTCTCTTGAGAAAGAGGGAGAGCACACTCGAGCAGGGGAAAGGCAGAGAGAGAGAGAGGGCAAGAAAGAATCCCAAGCAGCCTCCTCGATGTCAGTGCAGGGCTCCAGCCCACGAACCAGGAGATCATGACCCGAGCCGAAAGCAAGAGTCAGACACTTAACTGACCGAGCCGCCCGGTGCCCCCAAAATAAATAATTTTTTTTTATACTTTAAGGGGCACCTGGGTGGTTCAGTCAGTTAAGAGTCAGCTTTCGGGTCAGGTTATGATCTCACGGTTCATGAGTTCGAGCCTCGAATCAGGCCCTCTGCTGTCGGCGTGGAGCCTGCTTCGGATCCTCTGTCTCCCTCTCTCTCTGCACCTTCTCCACTCGTATTCTCCCTCTCTCTCTCTCTCTCAAAAATAAACATTTTGATAAATAAAAAATTAAAAGGTAGCATAAATAAAATGAGTTTTATAGAACGTAAGATAAAATGTATTTTATATATAGTATATTCAAAGTACAGTTGTTTCAATATGTAATCAATATTTTTAAAAAATTTTTTTAACATTTGTTTTTGAGACAGAGAGAGACAGAGCATGAACAGGGGAGGGTCAGAGAGAGGGAGACACAGAATCCGAAACAGGCTCCAGGCTCTGAGCCGACCGCACAGAGCCCGATGCGGGGCTCGAACCCACGGACCGTGAGATCATGATCTGAGCTGAAGTCAGACGCTTAACCAACTGAGCCAGCCAGGCGTCCCTCAACATATAATAAATATTAGGATGTGTGACATTCTTCATACTAAATCCTCAAAGTTTACTCTGTATTTTCCACTTACGTGCATTTTACATTTAATTTTCATTGGATGTTTTTCATCTATAAGATTTAACAAAATTGCAGATGAAAAACAGATTCACAAAGCCAAGTTGTTCCAAACATACTTAAAAGTTTTCTAGTACTTGAGTCAAGTATCTGCTTGTAAGTTGAAACTTTAATTCAGAATTATATTTCAGGTGGTCAGTAGGGACAAGTCACCGGCAGTGCCGCCCTGGCCTCCTCCGTTCACAGTGTGGCCCAAAGCTGTCACTTCGCCAGCCCGGCCTCCGGTGGTTGCTGGGCCAGGCTGATGTAGCACGTGGCTGGTGTAGCACGGACCCGGTGACCCATGGGCAAGTCCTGCTGAACGATGCGAACTTACCACCACATCTGCGTGGATGGATATGGGCACGGATGGGGATGGGAAAGGGTGGCCCAAGCCTCACCGCCTCACCGAAAAGCCAAAGAGTCACCAGCACTGCATCTTTCTGGGGCACAGCAGTGACTGCCTCGTCAGGTACAGCTCGTCCCCAGTGCGTGACTGCTGTGGTCGGCACGGTCAGCCCGAGGGGAGAATGGTGAGGGCACTCAGTCGGGGCAGGACAAATGAGCGGGTGTCCACATGACGGACACGTGCACGGGCAGATGGATGGACAGACGGTCAAGGAGTGGAGAGATAGATGGATGGACAGCGGTGGATGACACACGGACAGATGGGCAGATCTCTGGTTAGACTGACAGGACTGGCCCCAGAACTCCGCCCTGGTCTGCCCGTACCTCCTAGGGTCACTCTGGGCCTGTTCTGCCCCCTGCCCTGGGGGGCATCTGGGAGGGGCGCTGACTCACCTGCAGTTCTGGTCTCAGGCGTCGTGCAGAACATGACTGCCGGCATCATCTGTGGCCTGTGCAAGAGGCTGGGCCCCCCCCCCCCCCCAACTACAGCTTTGTCTTCCATCTGTCCCGCATGGAGCTGAGCAAAATGGCGGCCCGGGGCCCCAGACAAAGTCAGGACCAGCATGGCAAACCCTTTGGACAAACCCTTGACCCTCCTGCGTCCCACAAGTCTACCTGCCTGCCTCCAGGGACACCCACATTGACCTCTGATGCTCACTGTCTTCTCACTGGCGCATCACCCTGGGCCACCCTTCCCCTTCACCTCCTCTGTTCTCCTCGAGCTCCTGGTCACCCTTTTGACCTCCCCCCGCCCCCAGCACAATCACCTGCCCTGCAGCCCAGTGCCCACAACAAGCTTGGTGGTGGGTCCCCAAGGGTGTCCCACGGCCCTTCGGGTGGGGCCCCCATCAGCAAGAAGCCACTGCTAGAGGACAGCATAGCCTGACTTAGCAACAGGGCCTGAGGTCAGGGGTTACAGTTCTGGGAGCCCTGGCCCCACCAACTCCTGCTCAGGTCCCCCAGCCTCGGGGTGATGGAGCCAGCACCCCAAAATCAGCTGTCACCAAGATGTGCCTTCCGGCTCCTCAGGGCACCCCCAACCTTGCCTATTCAACTCCCTCAGCGCTACCCCAGCCTGAGGTCCCCCTGGTGGGGGGACCCGCCACAGTCCCCAGGGATACCCACCGGGCCCAGCTGCGAGGCCTTTGCAGACTACCCCAACCCCACCCCGCACTGGGTGCCTCCGTTCAGTCTGAATCAGATATCACAGCCCAAAGCCTCTGCCCCCTTGATGCTCATGACAACTTACATCTCGGGTCCTCAGACAGGCCCCAAGGGGTCAGGGAGGGTGTAGACCCCCGGGTCTAACAGCCCTGCCTGTGACAGCTACCTGGCCACCACCAGTTTGGGACTGAGCTTCACAGAAAGAGACTCATGCAGAGTTGTCCTTCATGAGCATTCAGTGTTCATTATTTACTTGGGGCTCTGGCCCCCAACCTTGGTGCCCTGGGGATCGTCCCTCCTGCCATGCTCCCTTGGTTAGCTCAGCCAGGCAACTTCAGGGCAATTTTGCCAGCCCTCCAGAGCCTTCTGTGTGGGTCTTTCTTGAAGAATCATTCACAGCCTCCATAGCCTTCTCCACCATCGCTGAGACCCACAGAAGCAGAGAGTGACCACAGGAGG